AGCTCCGCGTCCAGCCTCCTTCCTCCTCCCATCAAATCCATTCTTCTTCCTCCTACCCATATTCTTCCCAACACCACAAATTCTCAGCCTCTTTTCTGAGTTGACTCTTCTCCGTTCGACCGGGAATCCGTCTACCCAATGATGGGTCCTCCTATATATCTCCTCTTTGTTGTTCTTTCTGTCTTCTCTGTCGTCTCCGCCGACGATGCCTCCGTAATATTGAAGATTGCGGCGGCCTTTACTTCCCGTCCCTCCGACTGGTCAACGACGTCATCCAGCGGGTACTGCCGGTGGACCGGCATTAAGTGCGGCTCATCGGGGAGCATTACCGGCATCAACCTAAACTCGAAATCTATAGCAGGGACCCTGCCGCAAGATATTTCGTCTCTATCTGAGCTTCAGACGCTCGCCCTCCAGAGAAACTCTCTCCATGGAGATCTCCCTTCATTTGCCGATATGGGTTCCCTGCAGGAGATCTACCTCGATAACAACAATTTCACCAGCGTCCCTTCCGGCGCCTTTGGAAAGCTCGCCAGCTTGCGGATCCTCTCGCTTAGCAACAATGGCGGTATAGCGCCGTGGAGCTTTCCCATTGAACTTACTGATTCTTCTACCCTCACCACTTTGTACCTCGACGAGACCAATATAAATGGCCCATTGCCTGATATATTCGAGTCTTTCCCTAGCTTGGTGAACGTGAGGCTTTCTTACAACAATTTGACGGGACCTTTACCGGCTTCTCTTGGAAAATCCTCGATTCAGAATTTCTGGATTAATAATCAGAAAATGGGTTTATCAGGGACGCTAGATGTGTTATCGGGCATGGCCCAATTGTTTCAAGCTTGGCTGCAAAAGAATCAGTTCACGGGGTCTATCCCAGACCTCTCTAAATGCGTTAATTTGATGGATTTGCAGGTTCGTGACAATCAGTTGACGGGTATCGTGCCGCCGTCCATCAACTCGCTTTCTACTCTCGCCAACATTTCTTTGGACAACAACAAGTTGCAGGGCCCAACCCCTGCTTTCTCCCCCAATGTAGTCAAGTTTACTTATGATGATAACAACTTCTGCACAACAGAGCCTGGGAAGAACTGTGATCCGCAGGTAACAGTGCTGCTCGAGGTTGCCGGAGCTATGGGTTACCCGGTGATGCTTTCAGACTCGTGGAAGGGAAATAGTGCGTGTAATGGTTGGTCATCTGTTACCTGCGATACAACTGGAGCTGTTATCAGCGTGACCCTTGGGAAGCATGGCTTCGCCGGAACAATCTCGCCGACCATTGCCAACTTGACGTCGCTGAAGAATTTGATTCTCAACGGCAATAACTTGACAGGTCCTATTCCTCCTGCCTTGACAAAGCTGACAAGTCTTCAGTTTGTGGATGTATCGAATAATAATCTGACGGGTGATATTCCCGTGTTTCCGCCCTCGGTGAAGTTCGTTTACAAACCTGGGAATCTTCTTTTGGGGTCAAAGAATTCCGGCGGCGGGGGAGGAGGGTCACCTTCTGGACCGAATGACGACGGATCTGGCGGCAACTCAAGCCGTAGTAAGTCAGCCTCTTTAATCATAGGGGTTATTGTGGCTGTGTTAGTTTTCTTTGCAATTGCTTGCTTCGTTTTGTACAAATTCATCCTCAAGAAAAAGTATGGGAAATTTGGGAAGGTGCAGAATCCGGATAACCGGAAGGGTCAGGCTAAGAACATGGTATTTGGTGGAGGCGGAGGTGGGATAAACGGATATGGTGGTATTGCTAGTGAACTGAATAGCCAGAGCAGTGGTGATCATAGTGACCGCCATGTATTTGAAGGTGGGAATGTTGCAATTTCAATCGAAGTTCTTCGTCAGGTGACTGATAATTTCAGTGAGGGTAATATCTTGGGTAGAGGAGGGTTTGGAACTGTCTATAAAGGTGAACTACATGATGGAACTAAGATTGCTGTAAAGAGGATGGAGTCCTCTGCAATGGGTACCAAAGGAATGAATGAGTTTCAGGCTGAGATTGCTGTGCTTACTAAGGTTAGGCATAGGCATTTGGTTGCTCTATTAGGTTCCTGTATAAACGGGAACGAGCGGTTGTTGGTGTATGAATATATGCCTCAGGGAACTCTTGGACAGCATTTGTTTGAGTGGCGTGAACTTGGGTTCGCTCCATTGACATGGAAACAGAGAGTTACTATTGCGCTGGATGTAGCCCGAGGGGTGGAGTATCTCCACAGCTTAGCACAACAGAGTTTTATCCACAGGGATTTGAAACCTTCCAACATTCTTCTAGGGGATGACATGAGGGCCAAGGTTGCGGATTTTGGCTTGGTTAAAAATGCACCAGATGGAAAGTACTCTGTGGAGACACGATTGGCTGGAACATTTGGTTATCTAGCACCCGAGTATGCTGGTAAGTGGATCCTATGCAGATTTAATGTTTTTGTGTAGTAGTACTCTAGTTGCAATTTGAGTAGGCGGTCTTATTTAGTTGTTGATCGTGCTGTCTTTTTTAAATTATACTTCATATTGCCTAAGCTTGTTAGAGATAAGTGCTTACTGCTTTTATTAGTATCATTACTATTTTCCTATTATTATTATTATTATTGTATATGATTTGCTTCTCTTACAAGGTCAAATTTTTTGGCTCAATGCCATCTTGCTTTGTTCTTAGTTAGATTGTAGATTCTCAACCTCTTTTTTTTTTTTAATCTGTTGCCCTACGAGAAAGGGCACACAGCCCAGGGTTTGGGGTGATGCTAACTATCCAACAAGGGTGGGTTTGTTGGATCCTTGAGCTTTTTTCGCTGGTATGAAGTGTCATACAGTAGATGAGTTCATTTTAATCTTCACTCTTAATCAATAATGGGAATTGGGATTTGAGGACCAAAAATAGATCCCATGCTTGAAGGTCTTTTCTGAAAATCTTTGTTTAGTTGAAATGATTAATGTTCTTTATCTTGACATGTCCATTCTGTACTTTCAGCAACCATTATCAACATAACTATAAGCTTGAGTTCATTTATTCTGAATTTCTGATAAGACTGCGTTTGGTTTGCTTGCTGATTTTAATCATGAGCCATGAATTACAAAAGAAGCTTGTGGAAAGAAGTTAGTGTCTTTGTACGTTTCAATGAATTTAAATTGAATCTTCCCTGTTTTCTGCCAGCTACTGGAAGAGTCACAACGAAAGTGGATGTTTTTGCATTCGGAGTAGTATTGATGGAGATAATCACTGGTAGAAAAGCATTAGATGACACGATGCCAGATGAGAGATCTCACTTAGTAACATGGTTCCGCCGTATTCTGGTCAGCAAAGACAACATTCCAAAGGCTCTAGATGAAACTCTTAAACCCGATGAAGAGACCTTAGCAAGCATTTACAGAGTAGCTGAGCTGGCTGGGCACTGCACTGCCCGCGAGCCATACCAGAGACCAGATATGGGCCATGCAGTCAATGTTTTGGGTCCTCTAGTAGAGCAATGGAAACCTGCACACCATGAAGATGAAGAAAGCTTCGGCATTGATCTTCACATGAGCCTTCCACAAGCTTTACAAAGATGGCAAGCGGATGAAGGTACTTCCACGATGTTTCACGGGAGTATGTCCTACTCTCAAAGTCAGTCTCAGACCCATTCAAGCATTCCTTCAAAACCCTACGGATTTGCAGATACATTTGGGTCAACTGATTGCCGGTGACAGGCACGGATGGTCATAGTGTTGATCAAGGTGGGACGGTAAAATGTGGTCTCCAAGTGCGAAAAATGGGTTGCAGAGTAGCTCAACCAAGCTGATTTGCGGAAGATACTTAAAGGTCATTTGTATATGTATATTATCTTTATTGATTTTTATTTGTTTTTTGTCTTAGTTGTCTTGTTGCCAGACCCAAAAACAGTAGAGCTTCTGTTGGTTTTGTTGATTCTTTTGAAGCTAAAAGCTAACTGATTGATTTGTTTTGGTTTGGGAATCACCTATATTAGGAAGAGTGGAGAGAAGAAAGGGCAAGAATTTGTATTATAGTCGAAATTTTACTTTCATTGCTGGTGTAATTATCCATTTCGGTTTAACGTCCTCATTTCTAGCTGGTGAAGAGGATTGCTTTTTCCATCTTACCTTATCTAAAGTCCATATTAGGTATGATCTGTTGAGAAATGATCTCTCCAGGCTGTATCGGAAGTTGGAACAAACATGTAGAGAAAACTCTAGGATTTCCTTTCTTGGAGGGGAGATTTGTGGCTAACTCTGACTTAAGATGATTGGCAATTTGGGATCACAGGTATAATGGGTTGGCTTGAATATGTAATAGAAGAGAGATTAAAGGGGACTTAAAATGATTTTAGGCCTTTAATCATCAAAACAGAAAGTTAAATTCTTTCACATGGGAAAAGGCTTTAGAATTTGAAGGAGACATGTTTTTATTGACAGACTTATCTTTTTAGTGCTTCACATGTTCTTGAATAGTCTTTTTATCAATCTAGCTTTTTGAATGGGTGTATCTGTTTGTGAATGCACACACACACACACATATATTATATTGGAACTATATTAAATTGAGAGTTTGGATACTTAAGCATGAGCTGAGTGGATGGACAATGACAGATTTATTCTTATGGTTGATTTTGAATGGGAGTAACTTGCAGGGTGCTTCCTTCTTTGACTTTTGAATTTCTGTGTTAATCTTAGAACAAAGGAAAAGACTTTTGAAGCGGTTTCATATATGACAGTGTGAGTAGTCAGGGGATTCGAAAATGTGGTGGTTGACAATCATGTGTTTTGGTGGCACCCAGAGATTGGACCCATAATTTTTAATACAGAATGATTATAAGATTTGATAATAATATATAATGATTATGAATTTAATATGATTATTTTAGAAAATCAATTTTAATATGTTAGAAAAAAATTCCACTGGAGTAGTAGGTTAACATATTGAGCAGTTTTAGCCGTAAAATGAAAGTGTCCAAACAGAGCATAAGAAAAAGGTGATGAGGGTCTGTTTGGCAACTGCTTTAAGAATAATTACTGAAATTATTTGGGTGCCACTTTCATTTTTCTGTCATGAGGAATTTGATTTTAATTTTTGCCTCGTCTTAATCCAGAAGTTTTCTGTATTAATTTTTAATTTTACAGTAATTTTTTCCCATAAGTTAATAGGAAATTTGATGTTAGAAAAGTTCTTTACATATTCATATAAATATATATGTGTGTGTGTATTGAGAGACCAAATATGGAAAGAACAAATATATATATCTATACATATATATATACTGGTAATGGTTAGTTGTCACAGTTTAGACAGCACAAAAAATGCCATGAATGGAGGTTTCCCAGTTGGAAATAAAAATTTTTTTTTTTTAAAAAAAGAAAATTGACCCGCCCCACGTGATCTTTATTTTCAGAACTTGCTGAAGATTTTGCCTGAATTCACACTCAATCGGGTCTAAGATTCTACCGAAATTATATTAATTTAAGCCATTGATTGCGGGGAACAACCCGACTCCGAAGTCCGAACTCAATCCCTTGACGTATGGAATATGTTCGTGTAAACTATTTAATTTTAAATAAATTTTATATTCAACTTAAACTTAATTATTTGAAGATATATATAAAATTAATTTGATTATATATTTAATTTTTCTATATATCATATAACTAAGATCTAAAAATTAAATGAGAATATAATATTTCTGAATCAAAATTCATCAAAATGCTAAGATTTAAAAAAAAAAAAAAAAAAAACCCAAAAAGAATTATGAATTTGGGTCGTGTATGAATCTATTTTTGGTCAATCTCAACAGCCCATTACCCTTTTTTGGGGTTATTCAATTGAAGTATTGGGCCGTTAAGAATGGGCTTTTAATACATGTTCATGCTGATCTTATGCTAATTCTTTTTACCCAAACCAGGGAATTCCATAGACATAAAGAAGAAGACCAGATCAAGATTTTGAACTTGCTGTGGGATTATTATTATTATTTGTATAAAAATATAATAAATTTGTTAAAATTTAATTTAATCCGAGTCATCATAGTCTTATCAATACACTAATGAACTAAGTTATCGATTTTATCGAATCAAGCATTTTAAGTTAGCTACTGACGACACTTATAATGTGTCATTAAAGTAATAAGTTTGCGTTCTTAATTAATTTTAAAACTCCGTAATATTCAAATAAAACTGAGAGATTTAAACAACTAAACTACGGTGTTGGTGGTTGCAAACTACTTTTCTTTAAGAGACATTTTGAGTCAATACGTCATGCTTTTGATCCCTAATCTTTTACTTTACAATTCATTCATTTCTTCTTCTTCCTCACGCTAAATGAATAGAAATCTTGCAAAGACGATCCGTCTGAAAATTTACATAGAAATAAAGAAAAATCATCTATGCATGAACTCCCACTATACTTTAATTTATATCTCTTTGATTAATTTACCAATCATCTCTTTTCCTTTAAATTCACAACCCAACACCATCTCCATTTTGCAGTCTTGCGTTCATATGTTGATCTTTCAATTGATTAACAGAAAAAATAAATCAAATTGGCAATGCCAAAGCTTTCCTCCATTGATATGGGTCTTGCTCTGTTCTTGTTTTCTCTGCTTCTTGTTTTTTCAAGTAAGTCCTTTACCTAGTCAAGTTAATTCAACTCTAAATGGGTTTTTTGTTAGCTTACTTTATAAGAACTTACAGATTATACAGTTTAAAATATCTAATTTTTTTTTTTTTATAAATAAATTATCAAAATATTTGACTAATAATAATCTATTAACTATATAATTAATTGTCAACGCTCCTTGTTTGTGTGTTTTTTTCTTTTTCTACGGGTACAGAAGCTTCGAGCAAGATAGGCATAAACTATGGCAGACTGGGGAACAATCTGCCACCTCCAATTCAAACCATTGAACTAATCAAATCATTGAAAGCAGGACGTGTAAAACTCTACGATTCCAACCCAGAAATCCTCAACCTCCTCTCTGCAACCCAAATCCAAGTCTCCATTATGGTCCCAAATCATCAAATCATCCCCATTTCACTCAACCAGAACTTTGCAGACCAATGGGTACAGGACAATATTTTAACTTACTACCCAGAAACCAAGATCAGAATCGTTCTGGTCGGCAACGAAGTTCTCAGCTATTCTGCCTCCGATCAAGACAGAGAAATATGGTATCATCTAGTCCCTGCAATGCGCAGAATCAATAAATCTATGAAGGCACAAGGAATTAAAAACATCAAAGTTGGTACACCTCTCGCCATGGACGTCCTCAGTTCAACTTTCCCACCATCAAACGGTGCGTTTAGGTCTGACATTGTCGATACTGTAATCATCCCATTGTTACACTTCTTAAACGGTTCAAATTCATTCTTCTTCGTCGATGCCTACCCTTATTTCCCATGGTCGATGAATCCAACCAGAGCCAATCTTGATTTTGCTCTTTTTAAATCAAACAGAACATACACCGACCCAATCAGTGGGTTGAAATACACCAACCTGCTCGACCAAATGCTCGACTCAGTCGTTTTCGCCACGGCCAAACTCGGTTACCCAAGTATCCGAATCTCAATATCCGAGACAGGATGGCCGAACGCCGGCGACATTGATCAAGTAGGAGCAAATCTTCAAAACGCCGCCGTGTTCAACCGTAACCTGATTAAGAAAATAACCGCAGACCCTCCTCTCGGAACCCCAGCTAGGCCTGGTGAAGAAATACCCACGTTTATTTTCTCACTGTTCAACGAAAACCAGAAGAGTGGTCCAGGAACAGAGAGGCATTGGGGATTGCTTTATCCCAACGGGACACATATTTACGAAGTTGATCTGACCGGAAAGAAGGAAACAAGAGAATACCAACCGTTGCCGGCGGCAAAGAACGATGTACCGTATAAGGGAAAGTTATGGTGCGTGGTGGTGAAAGGAGCGGATGTAAAAGAGTTGGGCTCGGCGTTGGACTACGCGTGCGGCGAAGGGGAGGAGAGTTGCGCGGCGCTGGCACCGGGCAAGGAATGCTACGAGCCGGTGTCGGTGACTTGGCACGCCAGTTATGCGTTTAGCTCGTACTGGGCTCAGATGAGGAGCCGAGGAGCTAATTGCTACTTCAATGGACTTGCAGAGCAGACCGACGAGGACCCGAGTAAGGTTTTATTTATTTTTTGTATTTATTTATTTTGTAAATAAATATTTTTTTAATTTATTTTTTCTAATTGTGTTAGGCCGTGGAAATTGCCGTTTCCCAAGTGTGAAGATTTAACGGCAGTTCGATTTTCCGTCGAGGAATTTGCGTATGATTAGAGTTTGACATACAGCAGATGTAATTTTTTGGCCCTGACTATAAATATACACAAATATATATATGTATTTATGCTTGGTTATTCTACTTCTACCGTATAAAAAGTTTAATAGTGTGCGAAAATTATGTGAAAGTTTTATCTCAATTTTAAAATTTTTTTTAAAAATAATATTTTTGTATAGTAAAAAATTATAATATTTTAGCTGAAGTTATTATATATATTCATAGTACTAAAAAAAAAAAAAAAAATTAAACTCTCTCAATTGATGTCAACTGATTTTTGTACGGGGCTTAGCTGGTTTCATAAATACCATTACTTGTATTTCATAACCAATAATCACCAACCGGCTCCACATAGCCCTGTCCAGTTACAAGATACTTTGGACCTCATAATATTTTTAAATAATTTTCGTATTATTTACAATTTTTAAATTATTATAAAATACTATTATTTTGTCAAAATCCAACAAAAAATAAAAATTACTAAACACAATAAATATCTTTACTCTCGTTTAATTTTATTTCTTTTTTTTATTATTTATTATTTCGCCAGACTCGTTAATTCACTAATTTTTTTTAATAATATATAAACAAAATTATTTATTCTAAAAAAATAAAAATAAAAACTATTGAAATTTATATATTACCATTAATAGTGGTTCAACTACATTGGGGCACAAAAGACATATCTTGAATGGGACGTGTCCTGGTTGGGTGGGTCTCAAGGTACTGAGTTTTAAAGATCCTAAAAACTTACCAAACATTTATGGCAATGTAAATGAAGCCCAGTGTCGGACAGTCTGCCCAACCTCCTCCCCCCATCACCATTTTATGAGTGCACCTTCTTCGTTAATAGCTGAAATGTTAAGTCAACAATCAGTAATACAGATTTTATTATTACTAAAAATATAAAATTTATTATTTTATAAATATATTAAAATTTTATTATATTTTTAAACAAAATAAATATTTTTTAATTATTAAGTTTTATTAATTAAGATAACAATAATAAGTCAAAAAATGATAAATTAATTCAAAAAAATTGAAAAATTTTCAATTTATTCTATAATTTTTTTCAAAATATAATTATATTATAAAAATAATTGAAACTTTAAATAGAGTATATAATTTCATTTTGACGGTAATATTAGTAATTTTTTTAACTAGATTGATGTTACTTTTATTTATTTTTATAAAAATATAAATTTAAGTCATTTTAAATATTTTTTATGTTTTTATTACCACAATGCTAATTTATATAATTATTAACTTTTTTATTAAAAATAGTAATAGTAAAAGTAAAATAATAATGTCAATAAAAATTACTCAAACTTGTATTTCTATATTTTTTAAAAATTTATTTAAAAATATTTGTTAATAATTAATGTCGTTTCTTATACACTATATTATTTTTTAAAATAAAAATATATTTTGTTTATTGATATTTTTTATAGATGATATTATTTAATGGTGAATTGATAAATTCGAGCTGTCAATTATGTTTGATATGTACAAAATTATAAAGTTGTACATCTTATTATTGATTAACTGCAACTAACTTTTTTGTTTCGTACAAAATTGTAATTATTATATGCTCAACAGTTTTTATTAATAAAGTAGATATTTCATATGTATATATATATATATACGTGTGTGTGTGTATTCAACCAATAAATATGAGACAATTTTGTTTTTAATTTACTCTAAATTATTATTACTACTTTAAAAATTTAAATTTACTAAACAAATAATGTGACATAATATAATTAGGATATGAGTTTTTTCATTTAATACCATATTATTTATTGAATGCATAGTATTTAGTATAACTAAATTTTATTTATAATTAATATACCCATAACTAAGATTAGTGAAATTAATACGATATAAGATAGGAGACTTAATCAATATCATATTATTTTGTATTTATTATATTCTTAAATTATAATATAATAAATTTAAATTTTATTAAAAACTAAAATTTATTATTTTATAATCGTTATAGTTTAAGATAATTAATTTAAAATATTTAATTTAAACAAGATAAAAATTTAATTTATTAATATATTAATAAAATTATGATAATTAAATTAAATTTTATTATAATAAGTTATAACGTATTTGAATAAATTTTTTTTTACAATAGTTTAATTTTTTAATTATAATAACTACAAAAAAAATAAAAAATTCTTTTGATTTTTTCCATAAAGAAATACTAAAATAGTAAATACTATGATTATAAATTATAACACCACTAAGGTCAAACAATTACATATATATATATATATACATGAAAATTCGTCTAGATACATCTTATCCCAATTTAATTTATTTTTTTAAAGAAAAAAAAATATAACGCTGCTTTATAATTAAAATTAAATCCATTAAATTAAAATTAAATCTAAATATGTTTGGCTATTGACTTTTTTTTTTTTTAATGGAGCTATGGCTCACGATCATCTCGAACACAGGGAATAATTTCCCTTCATTAATCAAGTAGACTAGCAAGATTGCGGAAAGGAAACCGTAATAAGCAATGAGCACGCAATAAGAGCGACAGCGACGTCGTTTTGTTATTTGCGTTCACATTGGCAATCGCACTTGTCTTCTCACAATACGGCAATTTTGAGCAGTTCGAGATCCAATCTTTACACCCCTGACAATCGCTATAATCCGTTTTCTATCCTCGCTACTCTCGCCTGTAGTTTACACACACACACACACACACACGTATATATATATATATATCGAAGTAATATTTATATCCGTATCAGATAGTAGGGCGTTCTTAGTGTTTATGTCGTTATACCGTTTATCTTCTTCTTCTTCATCTCGCGCGTAATAAAAATGGGGGCCATGTCGTTGACTTCAAGTCTCGTCTTGAGCTTTTCATCTGATAACTCTCGTCTCTTTCCATGTGTATTCTCTCGCTCTAAATTTAACGCCTCGCGAATCTTCACCATGAAATGTGGAGGGCCGAGGATTCGAATTTCTTCCAACCGTGGATTTCGAGTTTATGGCGAACAGAAAGTAATTCATGCTACATCCTTTTTGTGTTTGTTTATGTCCTCGTGTTAATTTTTCCTTGTCTTTAGTTAATTTTAGTTGGCTTGCTAGTGTTTGGATGTCATTTGGTATTTGATGCCACTGCCGGGTTTGTGCTTTGTTTTTTCTTTTTCGACCGTAAGTTTCCTGTGGGGTTTAATTGGCCCTTGGTTTGACCTTACTGTTTGATTAAAGTATTCTCACAGTTAATGAAGGATATATTTTATTTTTACCTAATTGTTTTAAATAGTGAAGATTTTCCCTGATCAGAGAATTCCGTGCCGTTACCGTAAGTAACACCATGTTATGGTTGTAGAATCTCTGTTTTGCGTGAAAATTAGACACAAGCACTCTCTCAGGCTCGGCAGTAATGGAATCAGCTGGCTGCTTCTGCTAATTGCGAATTTTTTATAAAAAATGTGTGGAAATATGCTAGTATATATCGCACAGGATTTACAGCGCCACACAGTGGACATAGACTATGACTGAGGGTACGGTTGCTAGTATGATCCAGTGAGATATGTTACATTGTTCTTGTGCTAGATATGGAGTTTTGGTGTGTATACACTATGGTTGAGGGAAATGCTGTGCCTGATGCTAATAAGACTCACTTAACGTTATGCTGCTCTGATATTGAAATGTAGCATTAAACCTGGGGTTTATTGTTCTGTCCGATTAATGGAAGATTGTTTTGTTCGGGGTTTATCATATACGGGTTCTTTGGTTGGCTGGAATATACCATTTTAGTGCAGTTGTAAGGAAATACTACAGTTGTGTTGCTTGGGTGGATATTCCAATTTGTTTATCGGCGACGATTTTGGCAGGTGTAGGAGGGACTTACAGAGGATCTGTTATTTTATTTATATGGGAAGTTTGTTGAAGAAAGAATATGGTACCTGGGAATTTATTTTGGGGATATGGAAGGAGTTTTATGGGTATTGTTCGAATCCTTACCATTTGCTAGAAGACATCTGAATTGTGATGGTAGGTTGATGTTGGCCATAAAAATTAAGAGAGCAAGACTTTTATCTAATGCAATTAATTTTGCTTTTCGGTGTTGGATGGAAGAACTGAAGGGGGACCCTTGTTTCCTGCATATTTTATAACATGATTAATGACTTGGATGATGGTGCAGTCTCATCCAAACAACAGATGCATATGGTCTCAGTTGGCAATTTCTTGCAATTTGTTGTTCTGCTTCTGTTCGGCTTTTTAACTGATTGACAGATTTTCTATTTTGAAAAAGCTCTAAACTTGCTTACTTAGAGCAAGATTCCCAAATGTCGCACTTAATAAATGTTCTAAATATTTATTGTAACTTTGTAAAATTTTGTTTATTTATTTATTTTTTTGAAATAAATTTTTTTTATATATTTAAAATTTTGTTTATAGATTGAGGAAAAGCAGGTAAGGAAGTGTTCGCCACTCTTAGAAAGGTTATCACTGTCAAGTAATGGTGCTTTAGCCTCTGAAGACTTGAAAGCAATTCCCGACATTTGGAGGTATTCAGCAGACAAGTATGGTGATCGGGTGGCGTTGGTCGATCCGTACCATGATCCACCTTCACGTATGACTTATAAAGAGGTTAGTTTTCTGTTAAGTGGTCTTTATAATTTTTTTTCCTGGTTTCTGGATTTAAAGAAAAACCGATTGTCTTGCATCCAAGAAGCATTTAGAGAAACTATATTTTTCTCGACCCTTAGTATTCTGCTTCTTCTTATACTGGTGTTTGACTATGCATAATGAAAACTAATATTCTTAACTTAGAATTTAGATTAGAATATTTGGGACATTTTTGTTATTAGGTATTTGAATTTTACTTCTTCGTAATGCTAGAATCTCATTCTTTTGAATGAGAGTAGAGAATTGATGCAGATTTGAGAATGTGGAATCCTGTATCTTGTTCATTCTTTCTCTTTTCTTGCTTTCTTTTGGTCTCAAGCTACCTTTCTGAAATCTTAGTTGGGACTCCTTAATCGGAAAAGTGATATATAATGTTATACAGCCTATTTGGACAACAAGAATATAAAAAACCTAACACTTCTATAGATTCCTACAAGACCCCATACCAAATGAAATTACCAAAATAGGTCTAATATGCAGAAAAAAAATGATGTGAGAGTATCTCATAACAGAAACATTTGAAATTAGTCTTCCACGGATATGTCATCAACTCGTCAGTCCCTGTATATATGATCTGTTCTTTTTAAGTACTGTGGAGGAAAATGTGAATGTATTCTGTAGCTTCATTTCTATGACTTTTTTCAAAATTACAGTTGGAGCAGGAAATCTTGAACTTCGCTGAAGGTTTGAGAGTTGTTGGACTTAAGCCAGATGAGAAGATTGCACTCTTTGCTGACAATTCCTGTCGGTGGCTTGTTGCAGATCAAGGTACCTGGTAGCTAACATAGTCATTAAACTTCAATGTGCTAGTACTTTTACCACATCGTATAATATTTCTTTAAAATAGATTTTGTTCTTCATTTTAAATAGTAAAACATAGGATTTTACACGAATGTTGTTTGCTTAAAACAATTCAACTTTTTCTTCTATATAACTGGGAGAATGAACAAAGAATTTTTTTAAAAGGAATAGCAAGAAGTGAAGCAGTTCCAGAGTGAGCAGGTGAACTTTCCTTTATTTAATTCTTTAAATCTCAGTGTCAGTGAACTTCATCAAACTCAATAACATCTCAGATGGGCAAGAAAACTTCTTGGTGTTTTTCTAGTATTTTAATCATAGATGGGGTATGTAGGCTATATCCATTATCCATTGGCAAGTAACTCTTGAAAGTGATGCTGACCCCTGGCTATATATAATACTATCTGTAGAAGCACCCAACCTTTGTATGTTCCGTCACATGTTCGAATATAGTTGGCAGCTTTCTGAAAACTTAGACGGTTGTTTTCATCTTGATCTAGTACGATGGCGACTGGAGCAGTTAATGTGGTGAGGGGATCAGGATCAGCTGTTGAGGAGTATTGCATATATACAGTCATCTGAAAGGTTTGATAACAAATTTTGATACGCTTTACCAAGTGAGATGTGACTTTACTTCCAAATTTTGATGATCCAAACCCATGAATTTCTCTCTTTAAATAACAGCCTATAAGATATTTTACAACTTACGTGTGTTTCAAGTTGCATTTTATATGAATATATGAACATGAGCAGGTTTCTCTATTCATTATAATAATATATCTAAGAAGATAAATATATTCAAAAAATCATAATTTAGCATCTAATTAAATGGGATATATGTATACATATGTTAAGTAATTCTACTACGCATTAGTATTTTTATACTTGCGTTTGAAACTGCTTTATTATTATTATTGTTATTGTTATTTTTGTAATTTAATAATCAATGAGCTAGCGCAGACAGAACAAATACATTAGACAATCTGGATATATTTATATTATTTTTCTATCAATTTGTACAAGGGCGTAAGTAACTAAAAGAGAAAAACAAACATAAAACTTGTGAGACCAACTCTCTCTCTCTCTCTATGTACATATACCTATATATAAGATTTTACTTTATTATGATGGGTTTTCATTAAAAAGCTTTCAGAGGGATACATTAAATCTTAATCGACCTTAAATAGATTCCATAAAACAATAATAGGATATTCATTTTTCAGCCATTTCCAGTACAGGGGAATAATATTATATCAAAAAGAGATCTCTTTACAAAATTAAAATCAAGAAGGTAATTGGTGCTCATAGGAGGTTCTAGTTGACCTACAAGCTGCAATATTATATAGGAAATTGAGATTTGGAATCATGAGAAACTTCTTGCCCCATAAAAGATGCAAAACATTTATTCATGTATCCATGCAACAGAGTTAGGTAAATCTTACTCAATGATTTTTAAGAGCTCTTTTCTCTTATTGGCACTACAGAAATCATTAACTCCACTTTTCATTACTACAGTGTTGCGTTAGCTGTGGACAATCCTGAATTTTTCAACCGGATTGCAGAAACATTCTATTCCAACTCAGATATGAGATTTGTGATTCTGCTTTGGGGAGAGAAGTCATTATTGGCTAGTGATGGAAAAGGGATCCCTGTTTTTAGCTACAAAGAGATAATTGATTTAGGACGAGAGAGCCGTAGGGCTTTATTGGAGTTTCATAATGTTGGTAAGTTGATTGTCTGAGTGTAAGTTATTCATGAATACATGTCCTCTGGGTCACAGCACTTGTTATATCTGGTTGCTTGAATTTACAGTTTAACTCATGGTTGAGGAGCTATTCTTGTTGCTTGTTTGCCTGAAGGATGCATTAAAATCAGAATAATGAACTCTTCTGTAGTTTCAGATCCAGTATTTTGCTACAGTTTTTGGATGTTACATAGTCTGGGGAATTTGAAATATACATAATTTAAGGTAGATTATTCATAATAGATGTTTCTTTCGTGCACCAGTTACCGATAACTTCATGCCCCATCTATTCCATTGTTCTAAAGTGGCATCGATTTTGGTATTAGAGGATTTTAGCTAAACTTCTTAATGATCATATATTGAGTTTCAGTTGCATAGTCACTGAAGTGTATTGAAGATTTATATGCTTTTCCCTCAAATTTTGCAACAATGTAATACTGAACCAGAGAAGAAGGGTTCACCCTGGAGTCTGATATTGATGTTTTTATGTTTAATTTTTTCTTCTCAAGTTACATTTTCAATGTTGTGTAGGATTTGTTTCCTGGGGTGGTGTTTTGCAGTAGGATTAGTGTGTGGAAGTAATGATGCCGTAGTTAACAGCATTGACAAAAGTACTTTATTCCCCTATCAAAAGATCTCGTATTTCTGAATTCTAACTGAAAGTCAATCTAATATACATTCCTTGCTGTACCTTCCTGATAAGATTATCCAGAACTTGTTATTACTTGTTAATTTTCTTATCAGTTGCACATTAGTTATTTTAACGGATCAAATGATGCAATTTAAGGAACAATTTAGTGGGGAAATACCAAATTTTTATACTTGGAACTCGGAAACAAAGTTTGCTAGGTTTCTACGGTAAAAGCTGCAGCTTGTGATGACTATGGGATTAAATTTAAATTATAACTAAATTGACATATGAATGCTACTATTCATGAATTAGTTCATGGGTTGATCTGTTTTTAATCTCTTTGTTATACTTATCATTACAGAATGACAAGCTATTTTCAGTTTTTTTACTTTCAGTAATAGATTCGTAAGAACTGGTGGTCTGCAACTAACCATACTGACAATTGTGATTGCAGGGAAACACTGTGTGTATGAAACCATCAGCTCTGATGATATTGCTACACTTGTCTATACTAGTGGAACAACTGGCAATCCAAAAGGTGTTATGCTTACGCATAAGAATCTATTACACCAGGTCAAAGTCTCTACTTCTGCTTTTTAGTTTTCTGTTAGTATTAACTTTGTGAATACGGTATTCAACGACCAATCTTCACGAACTTCAGTAAGTATATTCAATAAGTAAAAGAAAAGGAGAAAGAAAGAGGAAAGAGGTAATGTCCTAGTTTGTGAATATGGTATTCAACTGACCAATCTTCACGAACTTAAGTAAGTATATTCAATAAGTAAAAGAAAAGGAGAAAGAAAGAGGAAAGAGGTAATGTCCTAGTTTGAGTTTTTGTTGGGTGTGAGTTTATCAGGCAGCAGCAATGGATTTGTTTTATTATGTGCGGCTTCGATACTGACTATATGTTGAGGAGATGATTATTTAAGTTTTAGTTTCTTGCTTTTCATTTTATAAATTCTTGAAAATTTGTTTTGATTGGTTTTCTTCATTGTCTTCAACTTAAGGCAATACTGGGGCCATTCCTGGTTTGGATTTTTTCCAGGTAAGGAATTTGCATGAATATGTACCTGCTGTAGCTGGGGATAGATTTCTTAGCATGCTTCCATCTTGGCATGCATATGAACGAGCTTGCGAATATTTCATATTTACGCATGGAATTGAGCAAGTCTACACAACTGTGAGATATTTGAAGGTAATAGTCTTCTTAATTAGATTTTGTGTTAGTTGATTATGCATTGTTGATTTTCACATGTTTCATTGGATGTTCAGTCACTATTTTATTATGGTTATCTATCTCATCCTTTATTGTATGTGAGGGAAAGAGCTAAAAAAAATGAGCGATTTTCTTGTTCTTGTATATATATATGGATACTTCACGTGTGAATAAGGATGAAAAGAAATGTTGCAACATTTATCAATTTGATGCCATTTTTGGTGTTCGGATTTACATGCTTATTGCAATTTCTTTTCGTTGTAGGATGATCTGCGGCATTATCAACCTCATTACATGATATCTGTTCCTTTAGTATATGAGACACTCTACAGGTATTTGTCAAGACCCAATTAATAGTGGTTAGAATTTGTTAGAAATAATTATTTAGATTGTTTTGATTAATTAGAAATTAGTTTCAATTAATTACTTTTAGCTATAAAAGGTAGTCTTGGAATGATTTTTATATAAAGGAAAAACATGAATGAACGTTTAATTTCTTTCTTTACAGCAAAGCCTTGCTTCTTCAGTTTTTTTCTTTACTCTCCTTCCTTATTTCTTCATAAATCAGGACTGGTTCCTAACAGTATTATAGAGCAGAAATTTGCTGATATTTGGGGAATCATTAATACTGATATCTTGCTTGGAACCAACTATCAACTGCAATTAGGAAACTGGAAAAAATAATATTTTCCTTTCTTAGTGCACATGCCAGTTTTCAAAATATTTCCTCTGTAGGAGCTTAGAAGTCTTACAAGATGCAATTCTCTTTGGCATGCATTTGGATGAACACTATTTCCTGTTATCTTGTGCATAGCACCTTAATACAAATAACTTTTTCATCTTTAAAATTACTTCATTACATGGCGAAAGTTTTGCATGGCAGTCTCAAAAGAAATCAGGCCAATGTACAAAGGTGGTGAAATAAACTCACTTGGACAACTGAAAGTAGATTATATGCTTGTGCATTGAATTTCTGTTGAAGATCAAGAAATATGGTCATTAGGTTGAAATTTCTATTTGCAGCATGATGTTATTGCTCTGTAGGATATTGGTGAGACTATTTGAACATTATATGATGAACCTATGTTAATTATTTTCTTAGTTTATATTATTTTTGTTAGCTTAAGGTATTCCTTCTTCATACTTGAGTACTTATGTAGGAATCGTATCTTGTGAGTATATGACAACATGGTGATAAGCAATGATCTGATCTTATGTTGCAAGTATAATACATTATGGTGCTGAACAATTCATTTGAACCATTGAAATTTTTGTTAGTTTCAAATATTGCTTCTCAGGATAGTAACATTCTTTCTTTAATAATTGTAGTGGGATTCAGAGACAAATTTCTACAAGTTCCGCTGCTCGCAGATTTGTGGCACTTACGCTGATAGGAGTCAGCTTAACATACATGGAGTTCAAGAGAATTTATGAGGTTTGGCATTAGGAGATTACCTAATTGAATTCTCCAAGCTGCCTGCTGTTTTTGTTGAATGTTTGTTTCTAAATTTTGTTATGTTCTAAGTCTTTAAGATATCCTTTTTAGGGCGATTATCTCATTGGTTTGACTTCTTTGCTTTTCTCCTTCTTTTTTTTATTGATTTAATTTTGTAAGAGTATTGTGCTTTCAAGGTCCTTTATAGTTGCTTCCCAAAGATACTAGGAAAGAAGCATGGATTCTAGTATCGTTCGCCGGCAGTGTTCATACATTAGATTTGGAAACTAAATAATTCTGATGCATAAATTTATGCTGTGTCCGACACCCAAGCTGACTCCATTTAACATAGAACAAACATTGAGAAAATTCCAGTCCTTTAAGCAAAAAAAGTAGCTATTTACAGGTTTGGATATGCATTTTTTGTTTCTCTTCTAAAACTGCTTTTAAAGCACCTTATTAGAGAAGGTACAAAAGCTTTTCCTTACATACAGCAAATAATGGGAGAAAGTGCCATAAAACAGCTGTGAGAATTTGATTGACAATAAATGCTTTTAGGTGTTGAAAATCAAAGAGAATTGCCTGTTGATATAAAGGATGGAAGGATTGAGCATTATAATTTGATTGGATCTATTTGTATCTTCAAGTAACAATCTATTTTTTTTTTTCCTGCAATAGGCTTTGATGAATTTTGACTTGGTCAATAGGGTTTTTATTTGACGAGGAATCAGAAGCAACCGTCGTATCTTGTTTCCGTGGTGGATTGGTTATGGACAAGATTGATTACAGCGATATTGTGGCCCATACATATGTTAGCCAAGACACTTGTCTACAGCAAAATTCATTCTGCAATTGGGATATCAAAGGTTTTATCTGTTATTTTCTGGTGTTCCATTTTTTATTTTCTTATTTACTACTGAATTTCAACGTCATATGTAATTAGTTCCTAGCCCTCTTGAAAAAATTATTGCCAGAAACAAAGAATAATTAGTTCCTTTTGTAGAAAGTTTAGCACTCAGATAAAAAGATCAAGACTTTTGTTTTTTCTTTTCATACTTTTGAATGATATTTTTCATGTCAGATTGTTTTTGTATTGATGAACTGAACTGAAAGTTGTTGTTTTGCTTTGCTTGAGAACAAGATTTCTAACAAAAAATCGTTCTATGTGAATTTCTGAGGCTGCTTTAGTCCTGGAGAATTCCTTATAAAAAAATAATCATCCAGTGCTAAATCTATCTGTTAAAAATACGTTAATTCTTTAATGTGTATAATAATATATGTGGCTCTCTGCAGGCTGGCATAAGTGGAGGTGGTAGCTTGCCGTTGCATGTTGACAAGTTCTTTGAGGTTAGATGACAAGAACATATTAGTTTGCTAATAAAAACTTTAAACAAATCTCTTATTTTAATTAGTATGCATCAGGCAATTGGTGTGACAGTGCAGAATGGGTATGGCTTAACAGAGACTTCCCCTGTTCTTGCTGCCCGACGGCTGAATTGCAATGTAAGGGACACTTTTTCTTTCTCTCCTAATAGGAGATGATAGTTTATATCTTTGTACTTGCATTAACGCATATTTATACAAAGTTATTGTTTGAAGCATCACATGTTACTGAGAGCAATCATGAAACATCCGATTACAAAATTTCCAGGTTCAACAAATTATATGCCAAAATTTTAATCAAGTTATTTGTAGAAGTATTAGCACATTGCAGAATAATTTGTTATCATTAAATTTTCATACTACTTGTGAGATAATTCCTTTACGTTTATCCTTTATGGTTTTTGAGTAATATAGAATCATTCATGAAGCTCTCTTTGTGTTTCAATTGCATCTTTTCCAGTATATACACTAGTACATCAGTTACAATGTTGCAGATTTAATTTTGAAGGTCTTGTTCAATTGGACACCCCATGCAAATAC